TGCGACAACCCCGAACTGAGTACCTGTTTTTCACTCGGGTTTTCGCCTCCGTTGTTCTGTATTACATTTCTATCAATAAACGTTCTTTTTCTCTGCAGTCGATTGAGTCAATCTTTATTCGCAAATTAAAGATCCTTAATAGAAATAATTCCAATATACCAGGAAGAATTGGATCAATTTTTTCCCATTTCTTAATCGCCATAGCGACGCAGTAGACGTCTCGTTTTTGTTAGTACGAAGCTACTTGTTTCTGTCTGAATTAGAGATTAAATTTTTGTAAGAATATTCGGATTAATGAAAAGTATTCTAATATTCTAGGAAAAGGTGGAATATTCTTTTTTTTCATTTTCTAATCGTCATGGAAAACCAAGTAAGCGATGTCTCCCTTGTAGAAGTACGAAACTACTTTCCTGTGGGTTACTACTGGTCAATATTGCTCGGTATTGCTTATTCCTGTTTCACTTAGAGACCAACCCGATACAAGAGCATTTGCTTAACCTTTTAACTGGGGAAGGCGAGTTAACACGTCATTGGTTCATCGATACTTGGAACAGAATAGTTCACTTATTGAAGGATAATTTTGCCTGCATTAAATACAAAATACGTGATATTCACATTTGCAAGAAGAAAAATGAAACAATTAGTTATAATTTATGTTCATTTTTATTTGTACACTAGAGAGATTCAATTTCTGTTTGAGAAGGGAATAACCCTCTATGGGCCCGTGTAACTTTCAAGTCACATACTAATATATTGATATTTTATTAAATAATTGAACTTTCTTCCACAAAATGGCATAAACGTCTTGTTGTACAATGTCTCCTTATTAACCCAGCAACTTTCTTGATAACCGTTGTTACTTCAAAGGTACAATATGTATTCGTTATGATAAAATTGTCGAAACTGCTGAATTCACTGTTATTCTGTATTTATAGGTCGATATTTGCTAATTTTACGTTACATAAATTCTTTTACAGTCAAGAAACATATTCGGCCCATAAAGGGTTAACTTTTATATTTTCTACTATTTATCAAGAAAAATGACACAATTCAAAATAGGGCTGTTTCAACCCTTTCTTTAACCCTCTATGGGCCCGTGTAACTTTCAAGTCACATACTAATATATCGATATTTTATTAAATAATTGAACTTTCTTCCACAAAATGGCATAAACGTCTTGTTGTACAATGTCTCCTTATTAACCCAGCAACTTTCTTGATAACCGTTGTTACTTCAAAGTTACAATATGTCTTCGTTATGATAAAATTGTCGAAACTGCTGAATTCACTGTTATTCTGCATTTATAATTTTACGTTACATAAATTCTTTTACAGTCAAGGAAAATATTGGGCCCATAGAGGGTTAACAGGGTAATTAAGAAAATTCCAATATACCAGAAAGAATTGGAACAGTTTTTTCTTCCATTTCTCAATCGTCCTAGCGACGCCTCGTCACGGCGACGATATTTCATCGGTCCCTTAGCGTCGCCGATACTCTTCCTCGCATTAATTAAGTTTTGCCAAAGCGTTTGCTTTTGCGCGAAGCGAAAAGAAGCCTAATAAAGAAGGGAGAAAAGGAAAGAAGAGAGAGACAACGTACTTACGTACGTACACATTTCTGTCTACGCACGTATGTACATGTGTTCCGAACTTACACGTGTGTGTATATATGTGTATATATATATATATTCGTTGCTTAAATAAATCGCTTCGAGTGACGGATTGGGGAAGAAGATTAACGAGCGCCGGTGTGTCGTTCGATTCGATACGTCGAATTAACGCGGGACAGGAACGAAGCTCTCTCGGTATCGGTTATTAATGACTCGAGCCTCTGCCAATGTAAACCTTGCCGAGCGTTTCGCATTCGTGACTTTGGAGAGCTTAGATTAATCGCGACTGATAAATACCCGCGATACCCCGCGATGGATCGTATTATAGCCGGATGAATTGCGGTTAATTATCCTCGATCGCTTAACAACCGTAAACGTTGCAACATTGAAAGAAAAGAACTACACGCTTCCTACACGATTTTCCATTAATGGTCCATCCTCCGCGTCACTTTTTCTTCTTCTCGCGTTGAAGAATTGAACGAATTCCGCGTCGTGATCTCTGAAGGCTGGAAAAGTTCATTCGAACTTCGTGGACGATTGGGAAATTTGAAAATTGGGGGAACTTGTGGGGTATGAGAGTGTGAGAAGGGGTGGGAAACCTGATGGCGAATTTTTCTTCTTTTCATCGTTAAAAAGTTTGAGGAATTCCACGTCGTGATCACTGGAAGCCGGAGAAATTAATTTGAATTTCGTGGAAGGTTTGGAAAATTTGAATACTGAGTAAAATGGTGAGGAGGAGAGTGTGAAAAGGGGTGAAGAAAAACTGAATGGCGAAGAAATTAAGCGAATTCCACATCGTGATCTCGGAAGGCTAGGAAAGTTCATTTAAATTTCGTGAAAGGTTGGAAATTTTCAAAAATGAGTAAAATGGTGAAGATGAGAATGTAGAAAGGGGTGGGAACAACAGGGCGAATACCATTCAATTTTTCTTCTTTTTATCGTTGAAAAATTTCACGAATTCCACAGTATAATCACTAAAAGCTAAAAAAATTTATTTAAATTTCGTGGAAGTTTGGAAAATTTGAAAACTTCAGTAAAATGGTGGAGATGAGAGTTAGAAAGGACTGAAAAACCGAATGGCGAAGAAATTAAACGAATTCCACAGTGTAATCACTAAAAGCTAAAAAAATTTATTTAAATTTCGTGGAAGTTTGGAAAATTTGAAAACTTAAGCAAAATGGTGGGGATAAGAGTACAGAAAGGGATGGAAAACCGAATGGTGAAGAAATTAAACGAAATCCACATCATTCTCATCGAAGCCTAGGAAAATTAATTTAAATTCCGTAGAGGTTTGGAAAATATCCAAATTGAGCAAAATGGTGGGGATCAGAGTGTAGAAGGGGGTGTAAAACCGGATGGCGAATACCCTTAGGTAATACCACGAAAGCGTCGAGATCGTTAATCTTACAGATGGTAGGTTGGTAGAGAGGTATTTCGCGTACCTATATCGAACTTGTACGGGTACACTTGCAGATACGCGATGCCACACCCCTGCGTGAGTCGGTGGTTGCGACCCTCCTTTGCAGGCTGTGCAAATATTTGCCTGGACTATCCGCGTAAATCGGCAGCGCGCAAATACTTAACACGGTATTGTTGGCTAAACCACGATTACCATCATTCTGTCTTTGATAACATTCTTTTATTTATACAGAAATAATTATGCAGATAAGAATCTTCCGATAAAACATTCGCACTTATTTCTGACTGTGAAAACACGTTAGGACGTAAATTGTTATACTTCAGATGGTTAAAGAATGTATGAAACTTGCTATGAAAACGTTTTTAACATGAAACAACGATATAAAGAATTATGTACTTATTATTGGCAGATGATAATGCAGTCATTATGTGCACGATCCTTCATTTTTAATTCTGCATACTCACTACTAGCGCCATCTGTCGGAATATCGATGTTAAGTACAAATCGACGTGTAAGATTTATAAAAATTATAATCTATAAAAATTACGTTATCACAATTGACGTAACGATCAAGAGATCGCTTATATTATAAGATTAAGTTAGACCGAGCTGATAAGAAATTAAATGTTACTTTCACGTGCCGAAAACGTATCGAAAAAAGAATGTGCATAAACGAATAATCACTGTCGTTATCAATTCAAATCGAATCTGCCGTAAAAAAAAGTACAAGGATATGGTAAAATCGTAATGCAACAATACCGACAAAACACGGTAATTTTCACGCATGCGCAGTAGTATCTTCAATAGCGATAATGCAACGAAATTCATGAACAGGGAGTAATGGAAAGGATGATGTTTGTTGGAAGGGGGTGTATATTGAACGATACTGTCAGTACAAGTTTACAAACAAGTGTTATTAACGTGATTCGACCTTTGAAGTTACCGGTTAACTCGAGTGTTTCTCTGTGGGCACCTTCAAAAATCAAGCATGCGAAGTTCCAGTGACAATACAAAGAGAACCGTCCGCGTCATAGCCTGGTCTTGAGGTAGGTTTAGCCTAACTCTCCTAACGTACCGCCGTAACACATTACACAGTCTCGTTCCGTAGTAGCTTTAAGCTTTAAACGAATTCTCCTTCGTGTTTCTATCATTCAGAAATCGAACGATCGTGTACAGTGTCGAACTCGAGAAGCTCTGACTAGTTGTCGCTTCGTTTTCTTGCTTTCTTTGCCTGTTTTTTTTTTCCATCTTTAGATATCCGTAATTCTGAACGCGAACTGTTCAACGATAAAGCACGACGATTGACAGCGATACGACAGGGGGAACAATGTCGTGTTCAAGCCAGCTATCTCGATCGAACGAGTACCTCAGCTTTCGTAGCTCTGTCCCGCTGCGGAAAATTGTCGTCGACGCCGATGGCACCAAGGTAATCGTCAGCGTTAATTGTACGTTAAACTTTCGGATTCGAGGTTGCAGTCAAGATCGAGAAGTGTAACCGACGACCTCGCTACGACTGTGATCCTCGTAAACAAATCTCATGTTCGAGGATGCAATCGAATCGCCGTTAGTAGTAATACCGAATAGATATCGAGTGTACTTCACGTGAATGAGAATATTTAACGCGTTACCGTACCGTGTTCCGGTTCTGACACACTTCGAAACCGGAATAACGCAACGCGATATTATTTTTGCTCAGGCGCGAGTTATCTAACAGCAAGAACGAAAAGTAAATACGGTTTATCGATGTAATTTGCAATTTCGTAAACACGATAATTTTTTTTTCAGGGATGGAAAGTATACGATTCCAGTCCAAAAACCATCAAGTGTCCACTAATATGTCTTCCACCGGTTAGCGGAACTGGCGATGTTTTCTTTAAACAAATATTAGGCCTAGCAGCCAAGGGGTACAGAATCATATCGGTGAGTTTCACAAACATTCAAATATACACCGTACTTCTGCCTGTTGACTTAAAATGTAACTTCTATTTCAGGCCGAGCCGCCGGTTTATTGGAACGTTAAAGAATGGTGCGACGGATTTAGGAAACTTCTGGACTACATGGAACTGGATAAGGTGCACATTTTTGGCGCCTCATTAGGTCAGAACGTACGAACAAGGCTTACAAGTACTCGAATCCACGAAATAACGCGAACGTTCGAAAGTTTGAACAATTGATTTATTTTTAGGTGGATTTCTGGCACAGAAGTTTACAGAGGTGAACGCTCACTGCCCTAGAGTTGTGTCATTGGTACTTTGCAACACGTTTGCGGACACATCGGTGTTTAACTATGACGATTCCGCGGCAGTGTAAGTATTTACGTTCTATTCGAACCGTTATAAAGTCAAATAAATTGGTCGTATTTCATCGTTTGTTTCTTGCCTGTTCCCGAGATAAGTGAACGTATGACAGAACGCGATACGTTATCTCGAATGTTTTGCCTGAAACTACTACTAATCAATTCGAATAATAGCTTTTGGATTTTACCGTCGTTGGTGTTGAAGAAAATGTTGATGGGGAATTTTATGGCGGGCAAAGTTGACGGGGAGATCGTAGAGGCTATAGATTTTATGGTAGAAAGGGTATGTATCGTTCTCGTCTTTATTTTCCTGTACAACTTTGTATCAAGGTTAGCTTAGGAAGATTACTTTTATTCACAGTTGGAAAGCTTGACTCAGCCAGAATTAGCATCACGATTGACGATGAACTCCGTCAATTGTTATGTACAGCCTCAGAAGATATGCCATATACCTGTCACGATCTTAGACGTCTTCGACGAGTACGCATTATCGAATACCACGAGAGAGAACATGTACAAGTGTTATCCTAACGCTAAGTTGGCGCATCTGAAAAGCGGCGGAAATTTCCCGTACTTAAGTCGAGCTGCAGAAGTAAATTTGCATTTACAGGTATGTAATCTTACATATCGTTATCTACACGATCGAACGTATTTGTATTACTAAACGAAACGTACAATTTCCAGATTCATTTGAGACAATTCGAGGGTACGGAATACGCTGCTTCCGAAAGAACCAAGTCATAACGCCACTAGCATGGACTATCGGCACGCATTCCTTCGCTTCTTCGATCATTGAGCAGTCCGACTTGCGCGTTATCAGTAACGCATGATTATAATAGTAATCTCGACACATTCTACAAAAATATATCGCCATATCAAATATGTCGAAGTACTCCATGTATATAACTGTAGTCTCGTAAAGGAGTATACTCCATTTTTATCATAATTGCGAATGTCCCGTGTTATATTTTCTTAGGTGAATATATTTATTAACTGTAAGTTCCCCTGTTCCGATGATTAACTCGACATACGTTTCGTAATGTTCTCTATTTCAAGGATATTCGAATTTTTACGAAGAAAAAGTATAAACGTAAAAAAAAAAAAAAGTGTTTGTAGACGAGAGAAAGGAGGTTGGACTGAAAATACAGCCAAAAGTTAAGTAGTTGAAATAATAACAGGAAAATATACAAGCTGCGGTGTGTGTACACCACGATTAATTTAATATCACATGTTACATTCAATCCCACGCTCGACTTGTATATACTTATTCCAAATAAATATACTTTTGTTAGAACCGCTGAACCACAATTTCAAAGTCCCATTCTAACGACATACTTGGCACAGTGCAATCGATGGAAATACCAGTTCAATTTGTCGCCCGTGGCGCTCGCAGGTGAACGAACTCTGAGTACGTCTACAGTTCGCAAGACCGCTTCACCGAGAGACCGTACAAGAACTTGCCCGGTATCGATTTCTCTCCGCGCGTTTCTCTCTAGCAGGCTCGGATTACAAACCCTTTCCTGTCCCGTCTACCTATGGGACACCTTTATACTACCGTACATACCACGCGCATTAATTACGGCTGTGCATCGAACCGCAGATACGTAGACCAACTTGGAAACACCTCGGCTGGCCTGGTTTACCAACGATCTTTTCAACCAACCTTCCACCCCCTTTGTACATACATATAGCCGCCCTATAAAAACTCTACTGGCCATAATTACATACGAACACTTTCTCCAAAGTTTCTTCCCCTTTTCTATTACTCTCTTCAAATACAACAGTCTCCGAGCTTTACAAAAAGTACTATTCTATTCAACGCACAATTGTCTCATTCCTTTTCTCCTTTTGTACATAAGTCTAAGACAGAAGAAAGTCTTTCTTTCTCGTTCTACAATTCCAAGGAACAAGAGTTTCTAAGGCTCTAAAATATAGAAATGCTAAATTCGAAATTTCGCGACGATTATTCTTTCGAAAACATCGTCAGACTTTTGTTCGTTCAACGCACAAACGTCTCGTTTTGTCGATGAAATCAGAATCCACGTAGTACTATACACTTCTGACGATGCCGAAAGTCTTAAATTTCGTTTTCCTTCGAAAGCTATCGAACTCAAATCGGCTGAAAGTTAAGCTACTCCGCGCGTAACATCGCGAAAGACAGATTTTTCACGTTCGATAAGATTGCGGCTATCTAACGGGAGGCGGTAATGCGGCTGTTGTAATCCAGCCGTCGATATAGCGATAATCCCCGGTCCATGAAGCGGGAAACGGCTCCCCGTTTGAAAGTTCAGTCGCTCAGGTGGTCACGTAGCGGGCAGCTGCGTGTTTCGCTTACGCTTGTGCTCGAGATGCCGTGTACATAGAGAGAGTTACTATCTAAAGCGAACCGTCTCGTCGTCTCTCTTATTCAACATTACACCGGTTCAATTTCGTTCTTTAAACAACAATACACGTCACGTAAGTTTCTCGTTAACGGTCTGTGATCATGTGGTGTTCGTTAATCGTGCCGCCTTCATTCAGTTGGATCGTGACGATAGAGTGAATCGTGCCTCGAGGACAAACGTGAGCGATCGATACACGCAAGATATACAAAGGCGGAAGAGTGTATAAAGAAAAAAGAAATATTTCGCGATATCCATCCGGTGGATATATGCACGTAAGACGCGTGTGGAATTCGACACTGTGTGTGCGAGAGGCGTTATTTGTAGCACGTTCCGTACTACACGTTTAAACTATACACCTCGCGGAGCAATACCACGGTTCCAGCGTGCAGATAACGTTTCTCAGTTTTATTCTTGCGGTCGATCGATCGACTAACAGGAACCGCCGGTGCATAGCCTTAAGCGGAAATCGTTTGGCGGGTGAAAGGAAGGCCAAGTATAGTTTCCTTAAAAATACTACGTCTCCGTGAAAATCCTCCCTTTGTGGTTCTCGTTCAGTCGAGACGTTGTTTGATGATCGATCAGCTTGAGTGGTGACGTTGAGTGCCGAGACTGGGATATTCATGAGCGTGTTGCGGCCACCGGTGTTTTCTTCGAGCGAAACCGGCTGGATTCAGACCTGAATGAAAGCGTTCGTAAATTCAGGTTTGTATTCCGATGATAATTAACGTTTTAATATGAAATATACGGTATTATCGGAGAGGTTGTTTTTCGTGAATAACGAACAGTGTTTTTGAATACTATAAACACGGGATTGCGAGAGACTACGAGTCAGGGAATTTGTTTACAATTGAATTGGTCGCGAAGATCGTAGAGGATGTCGTTTCGTATTTTCATTGTAATTGCGAAACCGCAACTTTCGCATCTTGTGATTAAAGTGAAATCTAGGAGACGGGAGGCAGCGTGCAACTGAACAAAGCTGACTCACGGTTTATATAAATACTTGAATCGAGTTAATAGGAATTTCTTTCAATGGAATTGAATACAATGGAATAACTACGATACGGTAGAACGTCGTATATTTTGTGCGCGCTCGAGTAACTGCGATCCAATTTACAGAAAGAAACACCTCGAAGATGGAGAATACCTTGCATAGACGCAACGAATTTACTTGAAACGTGAACAGGTCGGCATTGTATTTAAAGGACGTGAAATTGTGTCAAGGTCGTCGATCGAGCATTGTCGAAAATGGACAACGCAGAGGAAAGATCTCCGTTGCTGGAGAGGAAGCTCAGCGCGAAGACTAAAGTCGCGTATGCTTTGGGACACATTTTCAATGATCTCACGGCTGCCATGTGGTTCTCGTACACGCTTATCTATTTTCAAAGGGTGGCCCTGTTGACACCCATCACTGCTGGCGCTCTTTTACTATTAGGTAAATAAAATTTTAATTTTAAAATTCAAATTTAAACATTCTAATTCTAATTCAAATTTAGAAATTCTAATTCAAATTCAAATTTAAATATTAAAGTTCAAATTTAAAAATTCAAATGCAATTTTAAAAATTCAGATGCAGATTTAAAAATTCAAATGTAGCTTTTAAAAATCTAATTGAAACGAAAAAATTTAAGGTCAAGTGGTGGACGCCTTCATGACGCCGGTTTTCGGACTGCTGGTCGACCGGTACCTAAAGAAGAAGATATGGCACGTTATCGGTTCCATCATGGTCGTCTTAACGTTTCCAATGATCTTCGGTGGTTTCGTCAATGCCTCAAGTGCAGCAATTATGCTCGTCTACGTAGTCAGCATCGCTACGTTCCAAACTGGCTGGGCAGCTGTACAAATATCTCATTTATCTATGATCCCGGCATTAACAAATTCGTTATTAGCACGAGCTGATTTAACCGCGATACGGTAACGTTAAATTAACAAACATTTTTTTATAAACAATCTTTCGTATTATCTCCGGTAACTTTGAATGTTTATATCGAGTATACAGGTATTCGGCTCAAGTTGGTGCAGCCGTGGCAGTGTTCGTTGTCACATGGATCGTTCTGCCCACGAACGAGGAAGCAGTGGTGCGATTGGCCCAGCAGGACAGTTATAAATTCAGGGTGAGTTAACTCGAATTAGGCTATCGAAAATTACCGGAATTACGCGCATCTACCGTTCCATTGACTATAATATATAGCACGGAAATACGTCTTCCTTCCTATCAGCGTAAGCGCTTAATCGCCCTAATCCCCATAGGACTGCAAGAAATTTGTAACAGAGACACACCGTGGCTTAACGCACATTTTCCTCTTACAGAACATCGTGATAACTCTAACGTCCATAGGTCTGACAGCCACCGTATTGTTCCACGTGTTTCTCAAAGGGAGTCTCTTAGAAAATTTGAATCCTCATAAAGGAAACGTCGAGGAGTCTAAAAGACTGATCGATAATCCTTCGAACAATCGTGGCTCATGGGTCAGTACGACGATTTTGCTTAGAGTTGCTATGCTGTACGTGGCGAGCAGGCTGTTCATCACTTTGGCCACCGTGTATTTGCCCTTGTATATAGAGGAAACGGATGTTGATGGTAAAGCAGCTCTAGCTACTGTTCCCTTGGTCTCCTATCTGTCCTCTTTTGTCGCTGCATTGTCGCTGAAATACGTAAACAAATCATGCGGTACAAAGGTGTGTTCGTTAAAACTGAACAACGTGAAATTAAAAGTGAAAAATATCATTATCGTGGAGAAATACCGGGTATTTCGTTTGTTTCCAGGTGTGCTACTTCTTAGGTACTTTAATCGGCATATTTTCCGCCGCCATCGCTGAATACGGTGGAAATTCAAGGATAGTCATATATGTCGTGGCAATTTTAATCGGCAGTGCAAGCTCGATCACAATGGTAACGGCACTGAGCGTAACGGCGGAAATAATTGGTCCGCGAACGGAACGAAGCGCTATAGTATACTCGATGGTGACTTTCCTCGATAAAGTTGTCACAGGGCTGGTCGTTATCTGTATCGAGAAATGGTGAGGAAATCGATATCTCTCGAGGACTGAAACCGAGGAAGGTGGAATTATTTTGTGGAATCTTTTTTTTTACAGGAGATGTAAACAACCAGCGCTTTGTCCAAATTACAACAGAGACAGTTTAGCCCTTGTTTGCGTTCTCTCGATGTTACTGGGACTCATTACGCTACTGTCGGTATCGCGGTGTCTAAATTAGAAATATTAAACGGACTTCAGGCTCGCTAATGTATACCTAACCTAACAAAGTTCGTTTACTACTCCTGTGATCCTCATTAATCTCATCTTGCAACCAACTGCCGCTTCATTTTCGTGCTTCTTTAACTCTCCAAAGAAAAATTGTATTACTTTGTAACATTTTTACAGTAAAATTGTATAAAAAGTTTATAAAAAATAAATAAAGTTGCGTTAAGAAAGCACAGGTCTGCAGAATGGAGACTAACTTTTCCCGCCAATTGTTGCTCGTTCGTATGATAACGTGTACACGAGAAATTGCTCTTATCGACCCAGACGAAGCTTCGAAACGTTTCGGTACAGATGTCGCTATACGGTTACAGCATGGCCTCGGAATTTTCCAACGGAACGGACCGGCGCGGCGTGGTGGCAGCGTGAGAGTACGATGACCTGCTCGATTTACGCGTTACGTGGCGAATCGTGGTTGCGTCGTAGAACGTAAGGCGAGATCCGTTGAATTCTACTTGGCCGTTATGCCTCGTCGGACCATATAGCACGGTTATCGTATGGACTTAAACACGATAGAGAGACGAGCAAGGTTCGCGAAAAATGGAAGGGGTAGAGCGGCGGCGAGTCAGTCTCTGCGAGAAAGAGCGAGAAAAACGGGAGCGGGAGAAAGAGATACGGGAAAAAGAGCGCGCGCGCGCGTCAGCTAGCTCGCGGTAGAAAGAGAGCGAGGACGAGAAAGAAGGAGAAAGAGAGAGAGAGAGAGAGAGAAAGAGGGAGTGAGATAGAGTGGGAAAGGGAGAGAGGGAGAAAAGCAGACGGACGAAGGCGCCTTGGTGGACCACGAGGCAACGACAAACGGCGCACACATCGGCTCGTGCGAACATGGCCCGGAAGGTGCGCGCGGGGCTACTGCGCAGAGTCTTGTTTTGCTCGGAGGGACGAGGGGGATACGGAGGCGGACGCACGTTCACGGGGCATGGCGTGGTGCGCGTTCTAGTAAACAACTTGTGTGCGACTCGTGCGGGGAATCTGCGTCCTGAGTAATCGTGATTTTTCTTCCGAGCGAGCGCGATACTGCCGCTCCGAATGAATTGTGCCGTGCACGGCTAGGTAGTTCGTCGTGTGTCTCGTGTGCACGGGCACATACGTGGAATTTCAGTGCGATCAAAACGAAGTTTCGTCGGGGGTCTCCTCTCTGTTGTACAGGAACCCGACCGCGGACCACCTCGTGTGGTCTCTGTGCACGTATGTGTTTACGTTGTGTGTAGTGACTGTATTATTACGCGTGTTTGCGTAGAACAAGTGTCGACGACATTGTATCGACCAAGATTCTCTCAGTGTCATTCATCAACTACGACTTTCAATCAGCTTTTTCTCTCGAGTCTCGACGTTTCGCCGGAAGCATCCGGGATTCTTCTTCTCCACGCTGACACGGTAGGTGAACCTCTTGGAATTTCCTTGTTGGTTGAACCGCGTTCTCCGCGATCCCGGTCACGGCGTCGCATCCATCTAACAGAGTAGCATGGTACGCGATGTATTTTCGGAACAGGATCGTGGTTGGCCCGCGACTACGACCGAACCGCGAAATCGGAAGGCGCGTGTGTGCTCTCGATAGCGGTTGTCTCTTTTCGATCGAATTCTCATTGCGGCGCGGGGCTACACACTCTCGTTCAGAGGAATGCGCGCCACTATCACCGCAATCGAATCGAACGCGTCTTTCGATTCTGATTGATCGACTACTCTTACCGTACAGAGCTGTCAGTTAGTTCGTTCTTACTGCGTATATATTTCAGCCCCCCGTCTTTCCCGTGTTCTTCAAACACAAACTGAACACATAGATAGAGATTGAAAGATACATAAGGACGGTGAATATAGGCATGAAGGAAGCGCGCGATCGTTTACCTTCGACGTAGGTTGACATATGACCGATCATGGATATATGGCTCGAGTTTCCTTTGCACCGGATAAATATCGATTCTACGAAGCGATGTGTCACGTTCGAAAGATGTCTATCGGCTTCTTACTGGTTCTTACTTCACATGTGAAAACCGTGTGCGTAGTTGGAACATGTTGTGCTGTCTAGTGGGGTGAGTAGGGGAATCGGGGTGTAAAAATGGCTCGGGGAGGCACGTAGAGCGAGACATAGATTGCAGACTCGTGTAAGAGACAGAGAGGGATATAAAACAGTGACCCGCGAGTTTCTCGAGGAGATCAGGGAGCGGGATTGGCGTCGCTGTCGATCGTCGCGCGGCCACAGCTCCTCGGTAAAAGGTCCTCGGGAACGTCAATAGGCAGAGCGACGGCGCGACTATATCGCATTCCATGATATTTCTCTCTTTAGTCACTGACCTCGCGGCTGTTCGGCCAACCTCGTTTCGTCGCCACTCTCGCCTCCTTGTTTACCGCTCTCGACCGATTCCGCCGTCCTCCGCTCACGGAAGCTTCCTTTATACATTCGTCTCTTTCTTCTTCTGCTCTGATCCCTTTTCAGAGCTTCGACGCTTAAAGGGTTCGACAAAATCCTCTTCCACCTGTGTCATTATCAGAATTACTACTTTCACAGAGGTAAACGTACCATTCACCTAGCGACAAAAATACAATTAAACGATTAGTGGGGTTAGAATTTTTTAAATTGTTCCGACGATAATAACGTCACGAGTTTTGGAACGCATCCCTTGTTTTCGTCAACTGTTTGCACCGAGGAGAACCGATTTAGATCTGCTGCGACAACACGCTCTCTTTTTACTCGGCCAATGAAAAACAACAGACGATTGTGTGTACCTGTGGATGTTCATAGAAACGCGTCGACGTACAGTAGGATAAACGTTCCTCTAATTGTAGAAGAAGACAAAAGATGTTCGAAATCAGGAATTATCCGCGTGTTCAGCCTCCATTGCTCCAATGGTCAGTCTCTTCGCCGATCCACGATCGATAAATTGCGAATACTTTTCTGTATCCCCATGTCGATTATTTTTCACTGTGAAAAACAGTTTACCGACCGAGGGGGGCGGTTGTCAGTGAGACCTCCGAGACGAGTCTTTTTATGTGCAATGGCGCGATGAAAAAGTGATACCAATGGAGAAACTCGGTCCAGCGAGGAATACAACGACGATGTTTACATCTAGACGTCCTTGGGTGCACCGGGTTATTGTAATTGAATAAGCAGGCCGCTCGGTGTACATGGTGTGTATTGTCGCGGGAATATTCCCGTAGTCGGACGATTAATGCGTTTTATTCCGTCTACGAGAAACATCCACGACTGTATTGTGACATTTAAGAAAAGGGTCACGCACGTGGCGCCGCCGGTAACTATCCTCGAAACATGTTTCTTCGAACCTCTGTGTACCAATTGAAGAAATTACCGTCTAGATTACCGACGAAAAACTAAACTCGTGCATTAGGTAATCCGACATTCCTATTTACCACCGTATCGTTTAAAATCAACGTGGTTGTCATTTGTCTCCCGTGTCTCCACCAACACATTTTTTTCGTATCGTTTTTCTTAAGTTTATAGCCTAGTAATTTAACGAATTTCTAGCAGTTTCTCGAATGTTATCCCTTGGAAGGATCTATTACTGTGATTTTCGGTGTGTTTATCGGGTCCATGCTTAGTAACGGCTCGATATTTTTATTGTGAGCGTCGCACGTGGCTCGACCAATTGCGTAACGGCGTTCGTGTATCACGAGCCGTCCCGTACGCGTCGCAAACAAAATTTTTATTACGCTCGTCCTTACATTCTGCGTCGCAACTCTATTTTCCCGGACTTGCGTAAGAAAAACGCGGTCTTCGACTCTACGTAATGAATAACGATCTCTGTTCGTCTCGTTCGTCACTGGTAAAGACGGCTGACGTCACACACGACCGTTTGAGATTCTAGTTAAGCCTATCCGTTTTCGTCGTGACCGTCGTCCCTAGTGTGACGTTCCCGCGGCCGAGGACGACTGTCAATGCGCAAATATAACCGCTCTCTTATCGCGAACACGCGCCTTCTTTCGAATCTAGCAAAGTCACTATTTTACGCGTGCACGTTTCGTGCCTGGCGCCAGCTCCCCGCATGAGTCGATGAATATTTGCCAGCGAATTTTTACGAATATTTACAGAAGAAACACACAGGTTAATTCGTCGTTGGAACGATTGTGTTTAGAACGCAGTAATCTACATTCGCAGATCCGTCATTTTTAAGTACATATTCATGAGTCGATTCTTTTTTTTTTTTTTACCGATGAATGTATTCAGCTAATAGGGTCAGATATGATGTCAGCCATGTTTGAATGAAGCGCAATTATTCGTAATGGCGCCATAAATCACAGATGTGTAATTACCGAAAATTTTGTTAAATCTAGCAAAGGAAATCTAGACGTAATTATTTTTTTATTCCTGTTTTATTTTTTAAAAAAACTTTGGACCAGTAGTGAAGTGCGAAGAAACGAAATATTCGTTTTACGAATTAGAATATATCGATAAGCACAGTAGTCGAGTATTATGAATATTAGAGCGACGTGTGCGGAGTCGACGTGAGTTCTCGCACGAAGGAGGTCGTTTGGAGGGAGCGGTATCGCCAGGGTATTCGATTTCGAGGAACGTTGCTTCGCGTGCGTTTTAATCCTAGTCGCATGGCTGATGACAGCGGTTCGCGGTTCTTGCACGGACCATCTATCCTATTGTAGCATTGAAATCGTTTTATTTAACCGAATCTTGCGAAAGCTTTCGAAAGGCAGAAACGGTCAAGCGTCTCCACGCTTTCTCTACTGAAATCATCGACGGATTTGTAGGCGACTTACGCTGTACGTTGTAACTGTAGCAACCGTCGACGTTCGTGCGTCCGGTTCGCTAAGGGGTTCTCATGGACGATAGCGATCGGCTCTCGTGACGCTCTTTTTCGTCTGCTCGCTCGTCGATCTCGTCGAACACGTGTAGCTGTTAGCAATGTCGTAGCGTTTACCTCGTATAAATCCTTCCTCGTTTACACGTAGAAACAGCGATTAATAATAGAAATTCATCTACGCCGTAATTTTATCGTTTTTTCTAAA